GCATCGGGACTGTTCCCACACGGAATAACCTTCCTTTGAGTACTTATTACCCCAGGTTCATGATAATCCAAGAGAAACTCTTTTTATCGAGAGTATTCTTGGGTACCCCCTAAGATTTAATTAACCAAGTGGGATACGTCCAACTCTCTGGTTTTGGGTAGTCTATGTCGGTATTTTTTTACAGATATCGGTTCAAGGTGCTTTCACCAAATCATGTTCAGGAGGACACTCTTAACTTATCCTTACGAGATTTACCGCACATAGGCTCTCCATGTTTTGTGTTTTTCTTCTGTTTGTCGCTTTGTCATATGCCCCTTCTTATTCAGTTCCTCTCCTCTTTGAATCACTGATCTGATTCGGGAGGGAGATTTATTTGAATAAAGAAATTATATGATGATCAAAAGGCTAGTGACTCCCTCTAAAATAAAAGAGAAAAAAACAAACAAAAATAGAGGTTCCTACTAAAGAACTATCACCTCCTCCCAAAGGGTAGCCTCTTCAGCATAGATGACAACCACTTCTTCCTCCAACTTTCTTAACTTATTCACATGCTCAATCAGTAGGTGCCTCTCTCCAGCTTGATAAAATCTAACCTTTTGGATGAATGACTGTTCTATTTTACAAAATTGGTATTCTCTCAAATTGGGAGATTCTGACTTACCAGCCACCTTTGTTTGAGCCACCCTGAAACAACTCGGATGACTAATATTAGCCTCATCATGGTGTAGAGCAACCTCAAGAGACTCTTGGTCCACTTGATGACTGAACCAGCACCAACCTCCGCCAAATATGAGTTGACGATCACCACTCTGGGATCAAGTCTTCTACATCAAAATACAATATAAAGATGGATTTGAAAATAAAAATTTACCCAATAAATACCCTCCATAGCCAAGAATCATTCTCACTCCAGTGTGGGGAAAAAGAACCCTTCCTCACCAATCCTCAATCCTGCAACTCGAAAAGGGAGGACATCCACACCTTATTACACCCATAGGTACTAAGGCATTAATGGCCTCTCTCACAATTCCCTGACAACTATTTTTGGTGGTCGACACAGTGCTAAAGCATTAGATGTTCCTTGTTATGCTATTAGTGTTAGAGTATGAGCAGGAGCTGGCAGACCAATTAATCGTTCCTTCAGATGGCTACTTTCTTCCACCTGAGATGCTTCTCCCAAGTGAGCTTCCTCCTCACAAATCCCCTCTCAGCTACATCTTTTCTGCACTCATACCTTCTCATCGAGGGGACCAGGTATTGAATCTGATGACCCTACTTGATCCTCTGGATCATGTCTCCTTCATTACTTCGCTAACACTTTCGGCCTCTACTCCCCTCAGGAGGGATTAAGTCTCCTGTCTCAGGTCTTCGAAAGTCATCCAGTGGGCAGCTTTGTTGTACTTTTTCAGCCTTAGAACATGATATATTAACCATTCTGGTGATTGGAACTTAAACAGAATGTATGAGGGAAAGATGAGAAAAACACGCCCCTTACTCCATATTTATATCAATCACAGACATTAAATTCAAGAGTAGTACAATTATTGCTTTATTAAGTAATCATACATATTATTCACTTCTTTGCAGGAAACTCTCTTATTCTTATCACACCATAACTTACAAAAATAAAAGAATTGGGGAATTAAACATGTACACAAAAATGTGTTAGCATGAATCTCAAGACAATCTGATAACTTAATAAAAAGTGGCATGACAAAACTTGACCCATCGAAAAGGGACCCGACCAACTTGGAAGAACCGGTTGATTATTGCAAGCTACAGACCTTCCTAACCGACCCAATGATACATGCCCAAATCCTATTAGGGCTAACTATACTCAGCCAATAGGAATTGGAGATTATCGACCGACCCAATGCACCAACTGGCTAACATCTACGGACCAGATCAGTCTCACCAACTATCTACAATAATACAACTAGCTTTTCTTACATGAAGGATCAACTGACTATAGTCCACATACAGAAGGACTAGTAGCACTAATCACTCACCTCTTTGGCCCCAATCAATCGAGTGAGAGGATAACAAATCTCTAGGTGCACTGAGGTATATTTCAAGAATAAAAGTACAATTCTCCTTAAAGCAATGTTAGAAATATAATTTTCCTTCATTTCCCTATTCTATAAAGAGAGAGCTCTTCTCAAGTAATAGGACTTTCGATTCTTTGATCAAGATTTTATATGATGGTGTGATAAATGCGGTTATAATCTTAATTGTTCTTTACTTATATTTTTTACTTTGCAACGACATCAAAAACTTAACTTCAAAGAAAATAAAAATCTAATTATTATATTTAAATATGGGATACTACACAAGTAAATATATCGTTATCAAATAATATAGGATTTTTTTATTATGTTCTGAATATCGAAGCCATAGGAAGAAATTTAATCTTTTAATAAGTTAGAAAAAATTAGATAACAAATTCTATTTTACAAAATATTCTTACCTACACTATAGATGCTATAATATGAATGAAAGTTCGATTCTTTTGGGTAATTTTTTATAATTGAAAATAAAGTAAAGAGCCAACTAAATTTAACTAAATATTTGTAAGATGAATGCAATTTAAATAAAATATCTTTTTTTCTTATCATGAATCAGTAACAAGTACAAGAATTCTGTTGTGGAAGTATTCAAATTTTGTTGTGCCAAATAGGAGCAATAGTATTCTTTAACCTTATTAGAGATGCTATAAATAACATTAGCTAATTTAAAATTTGAATATTCTTAAAGATGGGTTTGGTAGGAAAGATACTAGCTCTCACTCTAGAGTTCCCTCTTCTCCCTCCACTTGGAAGCTAACATCTCGAATTAAAACCTAAAACTATAAATCAAATTGGGGGTTTTAGCCTGTCACTCTAAAGTCTTCTAATTCTACACCCTTCAAAATTTATTTCTCTATTTATGTGCCTCAACCATATGAATTACATTCTCATCCATATAATTTAATGTGATTCTTACCATTAGTTGACTGAGATGATACCATCACAGATCTTACATATTCTCACAGCAAATATTAACATCTTAATTGGCCAAATCAAGAAGTAAATGAAGTACAATGTTTAAAATCATCTTCGACGAAGCATCAATGCAACAACCTTTTTTTGAACGCACATTTTCAATATAATAAAGAAAAATGTTGTAATAAGCATGAGATTATGCAATTGATTGAGATTATTGGAAATAAGGATATATGCCCAAAGCCTAACAATGTCCAAATAAAAGCAACCTAGTAAGTTCATTTGTTATATTTTACTAATATTTCATTTACACATGTATTTGAATTGTATCTCTTTTAAATTATTTTGTTTTCTAGATAAATGGTAGAAGACGTTTGACTCAAGTGCTCCAAATCAACAAAAAATCAGCTAAAGGATTCTTAGTCAAATTTCTTCTTTCTCAGGATGTGAAAGAAATTGAAGTATTTTTGGGCGAATTCATACGAAGCGAAGGAATAATCTAGAGCATCAAAGACTAAATAATCTCTTTTATGTTCAATACAACCTCAAATTTAAAAAAATGTACTATGTTTTTCAAGTTTTGAAGAAGAATATATTATATTTTTAATCAATACATATTAACTGTTAAAACAAAGTTGAAACTTCTTTATATTTATAATTTAGATTGCGTACGAAAAAAAAAAGAGGTTATGATTCTTTGTATAACATGAGTATTGAGATGATCGATTTTTGGCTAGTTAATGAAGAACATTCTCTTAAACTTGACTAGTAATTTAGAGAGTGAAATTTACAGAGAGAATGTTATCCCATATGGTGAAGATTCCAATATAGCACTCAATATACAATCTTAGCGCAATTTTTTTTTTATAAATTTGAACGCTTATATTACTTATTTGCTTATACTGCACATTTATAGAAAAATATCTTAAATCTGTAGGTGAAGATTTCAATAATGCTACAACTGAAGTATTGAATGTGATGATTTAAAAGTTTTCGAAGAAGGAGCTGGTGGACATATAAATAATATGACTTTTGAACATGTCATCTTCAAACTAAGCTATTTTTTATTTTTATTAATTTTTCTAATTATTATTTCTTATCTTATCTCTAAGTATGTTAAATTTTATGAAATGTGCATGAAATTCTAATGATTTTATTTAAATTTTATTTGTTTTATATATTTTGTCAATGATTTTACTTTAGTATAACTAATGAATTATTAGAATAATACATACTAAATTATAACTTAACACCTATTTGAAATTTATAATTGCAAAAATGAAATTGTATGCTAAATTATGACAATTTTTCATATCTTAAACTATTATTGGTTTGTTTTTTTATATTTTTTATTATTACCCCATATCTAATTAATATTATATTCATTACCTCTTTAATATTATATTCATTACCTCTTCGCCGGATCAACCAATGAACAAAAAAACTCTGAATTTTTTAAATTGAAGCTAAACACTAAAATTGAAATTTGCAAAATATAACTGAAGGTTAAAAATTTTATCATTGACAATTATTTCAGTAGAACTCTCTTTTGGAACCAATATATTTTAAAAAAGAAAATTTTATTACACAGAAAAAAAGACTAAATATAATATTTTTCTTAAATCTTTCATTATTTTTTTACACGTACAGCAAAATCACATGATTATGTGTTCAACAGTATAAGAAAATTTTGCCGTCTGGCATCAAGCGCCGATCACTCTTTTCTCAAAATCTACGTGGTCAACGAACTAATTAAAAGAAGGACAACACATATAAATTAAGAATAAGATAAAAAGACAAATTTTGATTTGGCATCCATCTGAAGAAGTTCAACTCCTTGCTCCTACCTCCCAACACGTCACATTAAAGAATAATTGAATCAAACAGCAAGATGAACAAACAATTCAACATTAATACATATATTAAAACATAAAAACAAAAAAAAAAAAAAAAAAAAAAAAACTATTTTTTCCTGTTTTCATGCTGGCCGGGAAAAATATTATCCTTTATTTTATCCCGAACATACAATTTCCTATGAATATTTCCATAATTTTATCCCGAACAAGCAGGCGGATGCTCGCCTGAATCTGACGTCGGCGGAGCCGGACTGTCTTCTGGTGGTCGGGAACTGCTCTGTCTAGCTTCGGACGGCGGTAAATAGAATAGAGGCATCGAAGCCGACGAAGAAGACGCGGTATCCGAACCTCTCGTCAACGAATGAGAACTAAACGTTGGAGACGACTGAGAAGACGACGCCGTGGAAGAGCTCGGATAGATAAACTGACCCATTAATGCGGTTGGCTGCATTCTTCGATAATCCCCTCCCTGCAACACCCTCGTGTACTCCATGTACTCTCTAGGAGCATCAAACGATCGAAACCTCAGCAACGGCCGGTGTTCAAAATGGCTAACCGAAGAGCTAGATTCCGGCAAGTGGATCGCCGGAGAAAGATTAACCGGTTGCCGAACACGAACAGTTTCAGGAAAGTTAAGCTTTGCTCTGTTTCCTCGAAACCGAAGCGCCGCCTCATCATAAGCCCTCGCGGCCGCTTCGGCCGTCTCGAAGGTGCCAAGCCAGACACGAGCCGCCTTGTGTGGGTCCCGAATCTCTGCCGCCCATTTACCCCATGGCCGTTGCCGGACACCTCTATATCTCCGGCGAACTTCACCTGCAGTCAGTGCTGTCGTGGTAGCCGGAGCAGGGGATTGGGCCTCCTTAGACAAGCTCTGCGCTCTTACTGTATCATTATAGGAATGCAATGGTTAGATAGACAATGGGTGAGATTGAATTCTAAGGGACGGATAGAGGTTTTCTAACATAAAATCGCAGGCTTTTTCAAACTGATCGATTAAAGTAAAAAAAAAGCAGGCATTTTTATCAGAAAAGATTAAATGTTTGGACGCATTTTAAAATATAATGGAATGGAGTTATGTGGAGAGTTCTTGAGGATGCTTGTGGTGAAGAAAAGAACACGTGTAGATGCAACTTAGAGCTAAATAAAGCAAAAGATAAGGATAGAAAGCAGGCGAAGTATGTTAACTGAGTAAAAGACAAACTTTTGGGTTTATCTTCCCACTTCAGAAAATAAATACGCTTGGCATAAACCTCAAATGTCTTTCCTTGTTTTTTTTTCCCTGAATATCCTAAAAAATTTTGTGTTTCACAGATTAATTAGAAAAGCAAAACCTTTTTTGTATAGAAATCAAGAATGAGTTATGAATAGTAGAAAAGGAGCAATTAAAAGAAAAAAAAAATCGTTATTTTAAACATTACCACCTGCGGCAGGGGACGAAGCAGCACCAGACGAACTCCCGAACTCGAGGAAACCTCTGCAATATCTTGTCAAATCTGAACTCACTTCCTCTCTCTCTCTCTTAATCCCGCGGCCGCCAAATGAGATAATAGATGACGACGGCGTGGCAGACACCGCTTTTGCCGGCGAGTAAAGACTGGAAGGAAGCGACCGAGCGGTTACCAGCCGGCCAACGGTCCCAGCCAGCTCGCCGGCGTCCGTGCGGTGACCGCTAGAAACCACATGGGATAGAGCAGAGACCATGGCCGACATCTCCCTCTCCCGATCAAAAATGGAAAGCATCTTTGTGGAAGACGACGGCGTCGTCTCCTCCGGTGTCCCGGCTGAGGGTCCCACCACTTCCTCCTCTACTTCTGAGAAGAACCTCTCGATGTCTTCGGACTCGCTTGGGTGCGCCACCTTGATGCACAAGAAAAAAAAAACTTACACAGATTGCTTGGGTGCGCCACCTTGATGCACAAGAAAAAAAAACTTCACAGATTCTTCTGAAAGTTTGAGCTCGATCCCTTGAATACTCGGGAGAATAAAATTATAAATAGAAAAAAAAATAAATAAAGTAGGTTCAATTTTTTTATTACTTTTTATTTATGGAAAAGAAAAATTAAAAACAAATTAAAAAATATTTACTAATCTCTTTTTTTATTTTATTTCTATTTTTTTTATTTTTTTAGAGTAGCACTTATATTTTAAAATAGTAAAAATAGAAAAAATATGTTTTTGTCTAATTTCAAAACACCCAAAACATCGCGTCCCGCCGTCAGCAACCTCCCGCCCCGCCAGTGACGCCGACGTCTGATGACACTGACGGCCGACGACAGTGGGTCGCCCGCCGTCAGCCATCGACCGCTCGTCGCCTCCGTGACCATTAACACTGGCACATCGTCGTTGTTGGACCACAGCCTCCGCTGACCGCTATCACAACCGACCAATGCCATCGCCCTCGTCACCACAGCTGCCACTGTTGATCACCGATGACAATCTCTGCAACAGCCACCGGTTACCACCGCCACCCCTGACAACTGCAGCCACAACCACCGACCACTGCCACCGAAGACTGCCACCGGCTACGAAAGCCTCCGCTACTACCGCCTGCCATTGTTCCTGTCATCGTTGTCACCGCCGCCATTTGATGGTTGTCAGCCACCACCGCCGCTGCCAACTACCCACCACAGCTTATGTGCTGCGTGACCACTCAGAGGTAATGCTTATGTTGGGTGGAGCAATGAATACATTTTATATGCCATGGGTGGCTAATTTAATACCGGAGCGCACGTGGACGAAATCCTTTTATAAAAAGTATAGTTTATTTTCTTTAAAAAAAATATCCAATCAAACATGTTTTATATTTTTTTATTTTTAACAACATATAAATCTAAACAGTATGAAATGCATTTTCTAAAAATAGAAAATAAAAAATAAAGTAAAATTAAAACAGTCTAAGAGCAAAAATAAAATAAAAAATAAAAAATAACCACAAACAAACTATAAGTAAAACAATCGTTTTACTTATTCAAATTTAGATAGAGTTTCAATTAAATTTGAACATTATTCAAAAAAGCTCTTGTGGGATTCAAAGAAGGCTCTATTAAGCTATCAAACCAATTACAATGGGGCAAAGCAAAAATAAATAAAAAAAATAATAATTGACCTATCAATAAGGAGCATGAAGATGGTCTTTCTTTAGATATTGTTTTTTTTCTTTCATTTTAAATTTGTTTGATTTTTCTAATGTATGAGTTTATGCATGTTTTATTTTTCAAGAGATTATATGCAAGAAATATATCAAAATTTAAATTCCATGGTGCTAAACTTTCAAATTACGAGAGAAAAATTTAGCTTAATAAAAGAATAATTAATTAAACATAAAAATATAATTATTTTATAATTTCTACATGCTACTCCCAGCTAAATAGAGGTAAATCTTCCTCAGTTCAAAAAAAGGGAGCTGGCCTCCTCTCTCTTCTCCTACATTTTTTTTAATTTTATTATCGTATAACCCTTTTACATTAGTTACTAAGAAGAATGCATATTTTAAAATCATTTTAAGATTAAACTAAATGGAATTTAGTTAAAGTTGATGTCAATTTAATTTTGAAGTGTAGGCCTGATGTTGGTTAAACCTAAGGAGACCACGTGGACGAAATCCTTTTATAAAAAGTATAGTTTTTTTCTTTAAAAAAAATACCCAATCAAACATGTTTTATATTTTTATTTTTAACAACATATAAATCTAAACAGTATGAAATGTATTTTCTAAAAATAGAAAATAAAAATTAAAGTAAAATTAAAACAGTCTAAGAACAAAAACAAAATAAAAAATAAAAAATAACCACAAACGAACTATAAGTAAAACAATCGTTTTACTTATTCAAATTTAGATAGAGTTTCAATTAAATTTGAACACTATTCAAAAAAGCTCTTGTGGGATTCAAAGAAGGTTCTGCTAAGCTTGCTAAGCTATCAAACGAATTACAATGGGGCAAAGCAAAAAAAAATAATAATTGACCTATCAATAAGGAGCATGAAGATGGTCTTTCTTTAGATATTGTTTTTTTTCTTTCATTTTAAATTTGTTTGATTTTTCTAATGTATGAGTTTATGCATGTTTTATTTTTCAAGAGATTATATGCAAGAAATATATCAAAATTTAAATTCCATGGTGCTAAACTTTCAAATTACGAGAGAAAAATTTAGCTTAATAAAAGAATAATTAATTAAACATAAAAATATAATTATTTTATAATTTCTACATGCTACTCCCAGCTAAATAGAGGTAAATCTTCCTCAGTTCAAAAAAAGGGAGCTGGCCTCCTCTCTCTTCTCCTACATTTTTTTTTAATTTTATTATCGTATAACCCTTTTACATTAGTTACTAAGAAGATTGCGTATTTTAAAATCATTTAAAGATTAAACCTAAATGGAATTTAGTTAAAATTGATGTTAATTTAATTTTGAAGTGTAGGCCTGATGTTGGTTTAACCTAAATAGATTTGATTAAGTCCAATATAAGTTAGACTTAAAGTTTAGGTTCAATGTGGATAGAACCTAAAGGAGACTTGGTTGAGTATAATATGAGTTATACTTAGGTTCAATGTAAGTAGATCCTGAAGTATAAGATCACTTAGGTTCAATTTAGGTAAAACCTAAAGTTTAAGGTCATTTAGGTTCAATTTAGGTAGAAACTAAAGTTTGATATTACTTAGGTTCCATTTACGTAGAACCCAAGATATGGAATTGTTTAGTTTCAATTTAGGTAAAACTTGAGACAAAAGATGGTTTAGGTTCAAGTTGGGTAGAACCTAAGGTTTGGAATGGTTTAGGTCCAATTTAGATAGAACCTAAAGCATGAGATGGTTTAGGCTCGATTTACATAGAACCTAAGGTTTGTTGTTACTGAGGTTCAATTTTGCTAGAACCTAAGATATAAGGTCACTTAAGTTCAATTTGGGTTGAATTTAAGGTTTAGGTTGACTTAGGTTCAATTTGGGTTGAACTTAAGTTTTAGGTTGACTTAAGTTCAATTTAGGTTGAACCTAAGGTTTAGATTGACTTAGGTTCAATTTGGATTGAACCTAAGGTGACTTAGGTTTAATTTGGGTTGAACATAAAGTTTAGGTTGACTTAGGTTCACTTTGGGTTGAAACTAGATTAAGCTTAATTTAGGTTAGACTTATTTAAATTTGAAGTTGGATTAAGCCTAAATTAAGTAAGACTTAATGTATAATTAAATTTAATTTAGGTTAGACTTAATTAAAGTTTGAGGTTAATTACGCCTAATGTAATTAAGGCTTAATGAGATTAATTAGGTATAATTAGGGTTAGACAAAATTAAGGTTTAAAGGTCATTTAAGCCTAATGCAATTAATGCTTAAGGGTTAATTAAGTCTAATTATGATTTGACTAAATGAAGATTTAAGGGTCACTTAAGCCTAATGTAATTAAGGATTAAGGATTAATTAGGTCAAATTAGGGTTAGACCTAATTGAGGTTTAAGGTTGATTACATTATCTAGGTCTAAATAGGGTTAGACCACCTAATTATGGTTAAAGGTTAATTAAGCCTAATGTAAGAAATAATTAATTAGATTAATTAGGTCTAATTAGGGTTTGACCTAATTATGGTTTAAAGGTTACTTAAGCCTATTGTAAGTAAGCCTTAAGGGTTAATTAAGGCTAATTATAGTTAGACTTAGATAGGATTTAAAGGTTACTTAAGCCTAATGTAAATAACGCTTAAGGGTTAATTAAGATTGATTAAGCCTAATGTAAGTAAGTGACAACGACTTTATATATGCTTAAAAATACAAGAATTTGATACTGCTGCTAGAAGATTTAAATCCCCGGAGACGGCGCCAAAAACTTGACAGCGGTTATAGATTTGATAAAGATGTGTATAAAATATTCAATAATTACAAAATCACACTTATCAACGCAAGTATACGTATCGCTCAAGTAATACAGAGCTCTAATGGAATCCTGGATATCGATCCCACAGGGAGTAATATTAGAGGCTACTAACTAAGATTTAAAAAATCAACACTTAATCACAACAATATAGTTCAAGTTACATATTTGTCACTAATAGGCAATTGAAAAAAAAATTTATTTTAATAAACTCTTAATTAACTAATTCTACTAATAAAGTTTCTAATGTGAAGTTCAATATATAAGAAAGCATCCTTCTTCTTATCAAGAAATTTAAGTGAACCGATAAAGTGAATAAGTTCAAATTGTATTGTGCCAAATAGGAGCATACCTATTCTTTACCCTTTGGTCCAAGCATAAAGAACATTGACTAATCCTATGCTTGGTTACTGAATCTGCGGCTAGGCTAGGAACATACGGGCTCTCACTTCGAAGCTCCCACGTTCCCCTCGACTGAGGGCTAACATCTACACTTCAGCACCCAAACAATAGGACTGAATTGAGGATTTTAGTCTGTCACTCTAAAATCTCCAATTCTACGCCTGATAATTTTTATTTCCCTATTTATTTGCACCCAACTTTCAAGGACTTT